GCCATACACCTAGAGGCCATACACCTAGAGACCATACACCTAGAGGCCATACACCCAGAGGCCATACACCTAGAGGCCATACACCTAGAGGCCATACACCTAGAGGCCATACAGGGGCCATACACCTAGAGGCCATACACCTAGAGGCCATACACCTAGAGGCCATACACCTAGAGGTCATACACCTAGAGGCCATACACCTAGAGGCCATAGAGGCCATACACCAAAAGGCCATAGAGGCCATACACATAGAGGCCATAGAGGCCATACACCTAGAGGCCATACACCTAGAGGCCATACACCTAGAGGCCATACACCTAGAGGCCATACACCTAGAGGCCATACACCTAGAGGCCATACAGAGGCCATACACCTAGAGGCCATACACCTAGAGGCCATACACCTAGAGGCCATACACCTAGAGGCCATACACCTAGAGGCCATACACCTAGAGGCCATACACCTAGAGGCCATACACCTAGAGGCCATACACCTAGAGGCCATACACCTAGAGGCCATACAGAGGCCATACACCTAGAGGCCATACACCTAGAGGCCATACACCTAGAGGCCATACACCTAGAGGCCATACACCTAGAGGCCATACACCTAGAGGCCATACACCTAGAGGCCATACAGAGACCATACACCTAGAGACCATACACCTAGAGGCCATACACCTAGAGGCCATACACCTACAGGCCATACAGAGACCATACACCTACAGGCCATACACAGGCCATATACCTACAGGCCATACACCTACAGGCCATACACCTAGAGGCCATACACCTAGAGGCCATAGAGGCCATACACCTAGAGGCCATACACCTAGAGGCCATACACCTAGAGGCCATACACCTAGAGGCCATACAGAGGCCATACACCTAGAGGCCATACACCTAGAGGCCATACACCTAGAGGCCATACACCTAGAGGCCATACACCTATAGGCCATACACCTAGAGGCCATACACCTAGAGGCCATACACCTAGAGGCCATACACCTAGAGGCCATACACCTAGAGGCCATACACCTAGAGGCCATACACCTAGAGGCCATACACCTAGAGGCCATACACCTAGAGGCCATACACCCAGAGGCCATACACCTAGAGGCCATACACCTAGAGGCCATACACCTAGAGGCCATACACCTAGAGGCCATACACCTAGAGGCCATACACCTAGAGGCCATACACCTAGAGGCCATACAGAGACCATACACCTAGAGACCATACACCTAGAGGCCATACACCTAGAGGCCATACACCTACAGGCCATACAGAGACCATACACCTACAGGCCATACACCTACAGGCCATACACAGGCCATATACCTACAGGCCATACACCTACAGGCCATACACCTAGAGGCCATACACCTAGAGGCCATACTTCTACAGGCCATACAGAGACCATACACCTACAGGCCATACACCTACAGGCCATACACAGGCCATATACCTACAGGCCATACACCTAGAGGCCATACACCTAGAGGCCATACACCTAGAGGCCATAGAGGCCATACACCTAGAGGCCATACACCTAGAGGCCATACACCTAGAGGCCATACACCTAGAGTCCATACACCTAGAGACCATACACCTAGAGGCCATACACCCAGAGGCCATACACCTAGAGGCCATACACCTAGAGGCCATTCACCTAGAGGCCATACACCTAGAGGCCATACAGAGGCCATACACCTAGAGGCCATACACCTAGAGGCCATACACCTAGAGGCCATACACCTAGAGGCCATACAGAGGCCATACACCTAGAGGCCATACACCAAGCGGCCATACAGAGGCCATACACCTAGAGGCCATACACCTAGAGGCCATAGAGGCCATACACCTTGAGGCCATACACCTAGAGGCCATACACCTAGAGGCCATAGAGGCCATACACCTAGAGGCCATACACCTAGAGGCCATACACCTAGAGGCCATACACCTAGAGGCCATACAGAGGCCATACACCTATAGGCCATACACCTAGAGGCCATAAAGGCCATACACCTACAGGCCATACACCTAGAGGCCATACACCTAGAGGACATACACCTAGAGGCCATACACCTAGAGGCCATACACCTAGAGGCCATACACCTAGAGGACATACACCTAGAGGCCATACACCTAGAGGCCATACACCTAAAGGCCATACACCTAGAGGCCATACAGAGGCCATACAGAGGCCATACACCTAGAGGCCATACACCTAGAGGCCTTACACCTAGAGGCCATACATCTAGAGGACATACACCTAGAGGACATACACCTAGAGGCCATACACCTAGAGACCATACACCTAGAGGCCATAGAGGCCATACACCTATAGGCCATAGAGGCCATACACCTAGAGGCCATACACCTAGAGGCCATACAGAGGCCATACACCTAGAGGCCATACACCTAGAGGCCATACACCTAGAGGCCATACACCTAGAGGCCATACACCTAGAGGCCATACACCTAGAGGCCATACAACTAGTGGCCATAAATCAAGTTACCATATATCTAAAGGCAATGTATCTAGTTATGATACATCTAGTGGCAATATTCTAGAGACCATATATCTAGTGTCAATATATCTAAAGGAGATATATCTAGTGGCCGTACCTCTAGCGGCAATAAATCTAGCGGCAATATATCAAGTGGACATTCATCTAGAGGCCATAGTGGCAATAGATTATAAGGCAAACATCACTGACCACATAAGCTACGTATGGAAGAGCTAAAAAATCTCAATGAGATACAAATTTGAGGCCATACACAATGGCATTTATAGGCCTTAGATCTGAATGCCATAAATCTAGAGGCCATAGATGCTATACATCTAGAGGCCATACAACTGGAGGCCATAAATCTAGAGGCCATAGATGCTATACATCTAGAGGCCACACAACTGGAGGCCATAAATCTAGAGGCCATAGATGCCATACATCTAGAGGCCATAGATTCTATACATCTAGAGGCCACACAACTGGAGGCCATAAATCTAGAGGCCATAGAAGCTATACATCTAGAGGCCAGACAACTGGAGGCCATAAACTTGAGGCCATAGATGCTATACATCTAGAGGCCAGACAACTGGAGGCCATAAACTTGAGGCCATAGATGCTATACATCTAGAGGCCAGACAACTGGAGGCCATAAATCGAAATGGCCCTTACTGACATGGGTCAAGGTCGTCTGAGACCAGCTGATATTAAATGCCTTTAGCTGTGATGAAAACGTTTAGCAGTGACAGGGATCAAATTGTTCTAGAAAAAGAGAAGGGAGGGGGGAAAAATCAATGGAGGATTTCAAGAAGCGAAAACTGAACTCATAAACCAGGTGAGCTACAGTCCAGGGTGACAACAGTAAGAACATTTTGCCTATATTCAATAGAAAATATACAGTGTAGTCTAGTCATAATACCTAGTCTGGCTTTTGAATGTTACTGGGTTAGAAAATTCTAAATGTGTCTCAAAATAAGTCGGACAATAGAACATCTAGACGTAAATAGGAAGATACTACATCTTGATGAAGTAGCGCAATACTGGATGTAAGAAGCAAAAAGTAGATAGAAGTAGCACAAAGGTACGTGTAGATGGGAACCTAGCCAGTAGTTCATTTAACCAGGGTACAACTTGGGTTAGTTAATTTAACCATGGTACAACTTGGGTTAGTTAATTTAACCAGGGTACAATTTGGGTTAGTTCATTTGACCATGGTACAACTTGGGTTAGTTAATTTAACCAGGGTACAATTTGGGTTAGTTAATTTAACCAGGGACAACTTGGGTTAGTTAATTTAACCAGAGTACAATTTGGGTTAGTTAATTTAACCAGGGTACAACTTGGGTTAGTTAATTTAACCAGGGTACAACTTGGGTTAGTTAATTTAAACCATGGTACAGTTTAGCTTAGTTAATTTAACCAGGGTACAATTTGGGTTAGTTAATTTAACAAGGGTACAACTTGGGTTAGTTAATTTAACCAGGGTACAACTTGGGTTAGTTAATTTAACAAGGGTACAATTTAGGTTAGTTAATTTAACCAGGGTACAATTTGGGTTAGTTAATTTAACCAGGGTACAACTTGGGTTAGTTCATTTAACCAGGTTACAATTTGCAGTAATATTTCATGCCTCCTTTTTGTCAACGTTTAAAAAGCTAAATGTCCTACATAGTGAGGTAGCTAAATGTCCTACATAGTTAGGTAGCTAAATGTCCTACATAGTTAGGTAGCTAAATGTCCTACATAGTTAGGTAGCTAAATGTCCTACATAGTTAGGTAGCTAAATGTCCTACATAGTTAGGTAGCTAAATGTCCTACTTGGTGAGGTAGCTAAATGTCCTACATAGTTAGGTAGCTAAATGTCCTACATAGTTAGGTAGCTAAATGTCCTACATAGTTAAGTAGCTAAATGTCCTACATAGTTAGGTAGCTAAATGTCCTACATAGTTAGGTAGCTAAATGTCCTACATAGTTAGGTAGCTAAATGTCCTACATAGGGAGGTAGCTAAATCTCATACATGGTGAGGTAGCTTAATGTCCTATATTGTCAGGTGGTTAAATGTCAGGTGAGGTAGCTAACTGTCCTGATATAGGGGTAGACAAATGTCCTCAACTTGTCCTAAAATGTTGGTATTGCCGGCACTTTTGACTGTCTTTTAACGTAGACCTCTCTGAAGTTACAATTTCTGACCATATAATGTAGAAAACGTTGACATAGTTTTCTTGAGCTTTCTAAAATCATTTTAACTACACAAATATATTTCCTTAGATATCCGTATACCTGAACATAATTACAGAACCTCTAATTAAAGTGCAATTTAAATTTAATTACACGAAGCGAAACTAGAGTGCAATTACTTCTAAGACTAGTCATGTGAATGTAATGCATTTATAAACCGCCCTTTGTTTCTAGATTTGGTCCGAAAGAAATTAAAATTGTTTGTGTAAGCTTGATCGAGTCCATCACAGCTTGAAGCTACCGGAGATGATGGCCGCGTCAAAACAAGTCTGTCTAGGGAGTGTCGTTCAAGTTAATGGGATGCTAGGCTTTCGCGTCTGGCTGAGCCAGTCAAGAGTGAGCGAGAGAGATGGAGGGACATATGGGATGCTAGGCTTTAGCGTCTGGCTGAGCCAGTCAAGAGTGAGCGAGAGAGATGGAGGGACATGAATGACGCGATAATGGATTAGCCTTATTAGAAATCAAAACAGAGTTCCGTTAGGGTCGAGATCGGGAGGACATGTTGTTTTTAATGACTTCTAACACACAAGGAATCTTTCTTAGCGAAACAATAAACTACATTGTAATACGGAACGTTCAAACAAGTATTTATTATTCATTATAAGTTTGCCTATCCATTTAACTACTGCATTTCGGAATAATTACAGAAAATGTACCATCTAATACGTTTGTTTTAATTTAATGTATATTCAGAAGAAAATACTGAAAAAAATAAATTACACATATGGCAAAGATAAACAAAAAATGTAGCCTACTGAAGGTCTCGAACATTTCAGGCAATCTAAACAAATGAATGATAGAGTTATGTTAACGTTATGTTATGTTATGTTGTGTTGTGTTGTGTTGTGTTGTGTTGTGTTGTGTCGTGTCGTGTCATTTCGTGTCGTGTCGTGTCGTGTCATGTCATGTCATGACATGTCACATGTCACATGTCACATGTCACATGTCACATGTCACATGTCACATGTCATATGTCATATGTCACATGTCACATGTCACATGTCACATGTCACATGTCACATGTCACATGTCACATGTCACATGTCACATGTCACATGTCACATGTCACATGTCACATGTCACATGTCACATGTCACATGTCACATGTCACATGTCACATGTCACATGTCACATGTCACATGTCACATGTCATGTCATGCTATGTTATGTTATGTTATGTTATGAGTTGCGTAGGCTACGTTCAGCGCATAGCGTGCTGTTTATCGCCTACTATGGATATCAAACACAGTTTACACATACACATTTTGCTTTTTCAAATTTATAATACCCCCACCCCCACCCCTTTACACACAGCACCCTCACGTTACGTTAACTGAATATAAAGTTAGCCATAAAGTTTCCATGGGCATAATCGACTTCAGCTTAAATTATTGTAACTGAATATAAAGTTAGCCATAAAGTTTCCAAGGGCATAATCGACTTCAGCTTAAATTATTGTAACTGAATATAAAGTTAGCCATAAAGTTTCCATGGGCATAATCGACGTCAGCTTAAATTATTGTAACTGAATATTATAAAGTTAGCCAAAACTTTACAAAAAAAAAAAACTTTAAAATATAAAAAATAGTATAACTCATACTATTAACAAAATATGTTAACTTGAACTGGTTATTGATAAAATAAACATTTCGGTGTCTAAAATGTGAACAAGTTTATTTTCTCTACCTAAATACAGCCAAGTTATTTTGTTTATGTACCAAACCCATAATATATGACAAGGCTAAAAAAATGTGAAGTTTGAAGTTTTATAATTGTCACAGTATTAATGTCTAACATTTGAGCAAGAATTATTCAATAGAAAAGCAAAGTGACACTGTATCCTATTGTGTTGCAGTCTTTTGACGAGAGCAAGTCGTCCTATAAAACATCTTTAGACAGGAGCTACTCCAACGAGCAGTCGCTGTACAGCCCAAAACACGACACGACACTACAGCTGGAGGAGGCAAAGAAAGAGGCGGACAATGTGTGTGATTTTGTCTGCACGTCAACAACCATCATCTGCAGCAGTAGTGAGTACATCTCATGATATCTAGGTCAACGGCAATTTATTGAGTAGTGAGTACATCTAGTGTTAAGTAGCTCGCAGGCATTTGAGTAATTGTAGCATCTAAAGTTGAGTAGATCGAAGTTTGTTCGATTGGGTCCATCTTGTAATAGGTAGAATAGGTATGGTTGAGTAAATCAGTTGTTTTAAGACGCATTATTGGGTTCAACTATAGGCATATATGTAGCAATGCCAATGAGCCATAGAGGGGTGGAGGGGAATGGAGTACGTACCTAGGGTATTTTGTAACTAGAGACAGCGTTAAGTATGGACAGCATTACGTGGATAAAGTAACAAGTGCAGACAGCACTGAGTGCAGACAGCACTGAGTGCAGACAGCATTGAGTGCAGACAGCATTGAGTGCAGACAGCACTGAGTGCAGACAGCATTGAGTGCAGAAAACACTGAGTGCAGACAGCACTGAGTGCAGAAAACAATGAGTGCAGACAGCACTGAGTGCAGACAACACTGAGTGCAGACAGCACTGAGTGCAGACAGCAATGAGTGCACACAACACTGAGTGCAGATAGCACTGAGTGCAGAAAGCTTTAAGTATATACACTGAAAGAAACACCGCTCTTTGTATTCACTGAAAGAAAAGACGGCTCTTTGTACATTGAAATGTGAATATTCCTAGTTAGTTTTTAGCTCTGGGCGAGGTCATTGATCCCGTTACTTTATTTTTCTAAGTGGCTTGGTTAGTCATTTTATTCTGAATGTGTTCTGACTAACATACGGATAATTTTTTGTGGGTTTGGCGAAATAAGCACCAACTTACCTCTTGTTGCCTGTAGGTTTGACGAAAAAAGCACCAACTTACCTCTTGTTGCCTGTAGGTTTGACGAAAAAAGCACCAACTTACCTCTTGTTGCCTGTAGGTTTGACGAAATAAGCATCAACTTACCTCTTGTTGCCTATAGGTTTGACGAAATAAGCATCAACTTACCTCTTGTTGCCTGTAGGTTTGACGAAATAAGCACCAACTTACCTCTTGTTGCCTGTAGGTTTGACGAAATAAGCACCAACTTACCTCTTGTTGCCTGTGACGAAATAAACGGACAGCTGGAACGCTCACTTGTACTTACACTTGAAACTCGTCCCGTCAGAAACCAAACTGTCCAACAAGTCTTCTCATTAGGCTAACTATGTAATCAGACGATTGGGGTGTCAGCCTTAAAGCTCCATTATTTTAGCGAGAGCTACCTACACTCCTTTAAGTACCGGAATTAACAAGCAGTGATGACAGCTGCTTCAGTGAGGTCTTTCATGTTTGGAAGTTATTTTGTGAGAGGCAAAGCCCAGGCGTTTCCAATATGACATTTTATTTTATAATTTCAAACTAATCTTGAGAGTAAACATTGAACGCGCATTTATCTGGTTACACCAAAAGCGTGAATGGTAAAGTAGAGTTTAGCTGTAGGGTCAGGGGTAGCTGCCCTCCTACCCCTTCCACTCCGACACCCCACTCTAAAATCCGCCACTGAAATGTTTTGTGCCAACAAAAACCAATATAAAAAATAAAAAACGCTGAACGAAAACACCCTACGCCGTTGTCTTTATTGTAAAAGTCTGGCTAACCAGCAGTAATTGGCCATTAACTAATTATTCCCTCAAATTTGGCTGGTTTTTGTTTTTGTGTTTTTTGTTGTTTTGTATTTGTTGATTTTGGCTGTAATTTTGTTGACAAAACACAATTAGTGTTTCATTACCCCTGCTATGCTCTTCGATTTTAGTTGCCCCCAACTGTACTTTAGATGTGAGGTCAGACGTAATAAAGGAAGTACTCAAATATTTAAACGTCCAACACCCTACCACCCAACAGTAGACTCAGCAATGTTCCCCAAACTACACGCTATCAAATATTGATGACCCGTACAGAAACCATCGTAGATCCATTGACTGGCAATTTGTTTATTTCCCTTGAATAACATTTCTGCTCGTTTTCACCACGAAAAAAAGGTTTTATAATTTATTTACACAGTATAACTTAAGCCTAATTTCTACAATAAATCCATGTGTGTAGCTGCAACTAACTTGACTTTTCTAACCGTGAGTAGTTCAAAACCTCTCGCCTATTCATTTCAACTAAAAATCATTTGTCTTGCGTGTACCTCCTTAAGTTTATTTTGTATTATGCACCTCATTTACAATCAACACTGCCTATCTTGAAACCCCTTAGAGCACCTATGTTATAAGGTAACTTCCCTCGACTAGACATTGCTTTAAGCACACAACACTAGAATATTATCATGAAAGCCCTAAATAAAATTCAAATACAATTGAAGCTGCGCGACCCAAATCTATAATCTCCTTATTCAAATATTTCTCCTAGGGACAAATGTAATGTAAACAAACTGGTTTGTGAGAGGAACATCAAATATCATCATCTTCCTATAGGATTTTAACATTCTAGCATTTTATCATCCTACGGCCCAACAATTTGGGATGACATTCCGCTGTTGTATCGCAAAATGCTGTTTGTACTACTCAAATAAATACAGAGATCTTATTCGTTTTGTCTCAATAACTGTTTCAACATGAAGCAGCAATAGCTTTGTTTTAAGCATTAACAAGTACAAACTATTTGTATCTACCAGCCTTCATCACGTCAGCCGTAGGACTCTCAATTATCATACCTGTTGTCATGATTGTATTAGGTGAGTAACGTGCCTGTTGTCATGATTGTATTAGGTTAGTAACATAGCTGTTGTCATGATTGAATTAGGTGAGTAACGTGCCTGTTGTCATGATTGCATTAGGTGACTAACATACCTGTTGTCATGATTGTATTAGGTGAGTAACATACCTGTTGTCATGATTGCATTAGGTGAGTAACATACCTGTTGTCATGATTGCATTAGGTGAGTAACGTGCCTGTTGTCATGATTGCATTAGGTGAGTAACGTGCCTGTTGTCATGATTGTATTAGGTTAGTAACATAGCTGTTGTCATGATTGTATTAGGTTAGTAACATGGCTGTTGTCATGATTGCATTAGGTCAGAATCATATTTGTAATGATTGTATTGCTATTGGGCATGCAGTTTAATTCCCCAATAGGTATTCTCCAATTGTGTATTGTGTCATTGATCAATTCACAGAAAACGTGATTTTAATCGTAGAAAAGCAGAAAGGGAGTAAAATAAACCGGGAGTGATCTCCCTTAAACTTTCTCGAATATTCTTATATAACACTACGGCGGATGGCAACTCGGGACATAGACAATATTTTTAATCCATTTTTAATTATTTGAACTTTTTAAAATAGAATAGAATCTAGTAGAAAAAAGAATTGCACAACAAGTGAACGCCAAATATATTGTGTATATTAGTGCAAAATATTATTAGTACTTAATAACTTTACATGCGTTTTTTTTTTTTGAGAAATCGGAAATGGCCTAAATTACTACTTCCGGTCAAGAGAATTGTCTCAAAATTTGACAGAAGGCATAAAATTAGATATTTACTTATATGTGAAATCACTGAAAAGTCAATACGGATCTACAAATTTGATATATTTATATATGAAATTTCATCAACCTAGCTGTAACGGTACTCAAGTTATTGTGTTTACAGACACACATACACACATACACGCACACAGACATACGGACAAGATCGCAAAATTATGTTTTTCCGACTGTGGGAGGTGTAAAACGTCGAGATTAGCAATAATCTCGTTTTTTTAGTTTTGCACGATTAAATTAATTTCTCTATACTTTGTATACGAGAAAGTAAAAAGTCAATTGACCTTAAACAACTGGATCAGATTTGTTAAGCTTTAGTATTATAACTCTGGTCTGTGGCCGGTTTACCCTTCGACTTTGAGATCTAAGGGTGATCCGGGACGTGTTAAAGTCTAGCTAGGACAAAATCGTTTGTACCGTGTCTTTTGATCAGCGACTTCGAGTCAAACGGTAGAACATTGATCTCTAGATGAACCGTTAGCCGCGTCACTGAGTAGACTACAGAGGCAGACAGTGATTGAAGGGTCACGCCAAGTCTGCTGGGGTGGGAGGGGGGGAGGGTGGCGGGGATAATAGCCAGTAGCCGATAGGTGAAGTACCGATACCAGTTAGTTCACTGTTGTTGTTTTTTTTACACTTGGATCTAACATTTTAAAACATGAAATGTTAAGTGAACATAGTTCTAACCAATCAATACTTCGAAAGGAACATGTATTGGAGGAAGTTTATTACTTTTTTATTAGTAAATTCACTTATCCACTTATACATGAAATAAACTGTATTAAAATCATTTGAATACGTGTATTTGAATTTCTGATAAAATTGATAACCAGAGACCATCTCCTGTCTCAAGTTATCAAAGAGATAGCAGACATAGGTCTCAATCTGTCACAGAGATAGCAAACATCTGTCTCAATCTGTCACAGAGATAGCAGACATATGTCTTAATCTGTCACAGTTATAGCAGACATATGTCTTAATCTGTCACAGTGATAGCAGACATATGTCTTAATCTGTCACAGTGATAGCAGACATATGTCTTAATCTGTCACAGTGATAGCAGACATATGTCTTAATCTGTCACAGTGATAGCAGACATATGTCTTAATCTGTCACAGTGATAGCAGACATATGTCTTAATCTGTCACAGTGATAGCAGACATATGTCTTAATCTGTCACAGTGATAGCAGACATATGTCTTAATCTGTCACAGAGATAGCAGACATATGTCTTAATCTGTCACAGTTATAGCAGACATATGTCTTAATCTGTCACAGTGATAGCAGACATCTACTGTCTTAAGTTAAACCAGAGATGACAGACTTGCCTTCTTCTAACTGCCAAAAGGATGACAGACTTGCCTTCTCCTAACTGCCACAGAGATGACAGACTTGCCTTCTTCTAACTGTTACAGAGATGACAGACTTGCCTTCTTCTAACTGCCAAAAGGATGACAGACTTGACTTCTTCTAACTACCCATAAGATGACAGACTTGCCTTCTCCTAACTACCCATAAGATGACAGACTTGCCTTCTTCTAACTGTTACAGAGATGACAGACTTGCCTTCTTCTAACTGTTACAGAGATGACAGACTTGCCTTCTCCTAACTGCCACAGAGATGACAGACTTGCCTTCTCCTAACTGCAACAGAGATGACAGAGTTGCCTTCTCCTAACTGCCACAGAGATGACAGACTTGCCTTCTCCTAACTGCCACAGAGATGACAGACTTGCCTTCTCCTAACTGCCACAGAGATGACAGACTTGCCTTCTCCTAACTGTCACAGAGATGACAGACTTGCCTTCTTCTAACTGTCACAGAGATGACAGACTTGCCTTCTTCTAACTGTTACAGAGATGACAGACTTGCCTTCTCCTAACTGCAACAGAGATGACAGACTTGCCTTCTCCTAACTGCCACAGAGATGACAGACTTGCCTTCTCCTAACTGCCACAGAGATGACAGACTTGCCTTCTCCTAACTGTCACAGAGATGACAGACTTGCCTTCTTCTAACTGTCACAGAGATGACAGACTTGCCTTCTTCTAACTGTCACAGAGATGACAGACTTGCCTTCTCCTAACTGCCACAGAGATGACAGACTTGCCTTCTTCTAACTGTCACAGAGATGACAGACTTGCCTTCTCCTAACTACCCATAAGATGACAGACTTGCCTTCTCCTAACTACCCATAAGATGACAGACTTGCCTTCTCCTAACTGTCACAGAGATGACAGACTTGCCTTCTCCTAACTGCCATTAACTCGGTGATTGAATCCCCTCGTGTATTAACCTCACCACCCCCGCCCACATGCACTACGGCTAAGGTATCGGTTAGACCACGTGTTCCAATCGATCAAAGAGCCTGGTTACATGAACCAACTCCTTGTTAACAGCGGCGCATTCACTCCAGTTGTTCCAGTCATTTCACTCCTGCTGTTTCAGTCATTTCACTCCTCTTGTTCCAGTCATTTCACTCTTTTCAGTCATTTCACTCCTCTTGTTGCAGTCATTTCACTCCTGCTTTTCCAGTCATTTCACTCTTTTCAGTCATTTCACTCCTCTTGTTGCAGTCATTTCACTCCTGTTGTTCCAGTCATTTCACTCCTGTTGTTCCAGTCATTTCACTCCTGTTGTTCCAGTCATTTCACTCCTCTTGTTGCAGTCATTTCACTCCTCTTGTTGCAGTCATTTCACTCTTTTCAGTCATTTCACTCCTCTTGTTGCAGTCATTTCACTCTTTTCAGTCATTTCACTCCTCTTGTTGCAGTCATTTCATTCCTGCTTTTCCAGTCATTTCACTCTTTTCAGTCATTTCACTCCTGCTGTTTCAGTCATTTCACTCCTCTTGTTCCAGTCATTTCACTCCTGCTGTTCCAGTCATTTCACTCCTCTTGTTGCAGTCATTTCACTCCTGCTTTTCCAGTCATTTCACTCTTTTCAGTCATTTCACTCCTGCTGTTCCAGTCATTTCACTCCTCTTGTTCCAGTCATTTCACTCCTGTTGTTCCAGTCATTTCACTCCTCTTGTTGCAGTCATTTCACTCTTTTCAGTCATTTCACTCCTCTTGTTCCAGTCATTTCACTCCTGTTTTTCCAGTCATTTCACTCCTGTTTTTCCAGTCATTTCACTCCTCTTGTTAAAGTCATTTCACTCCAGTTTTTCCAGTCATTTCAATCCTCTTGTTCCAGTCATTTCACTCCTGTTTTTAGATTCATTTCACTCATGTTTTTAGATTCATTTCACTCCTCTTGTTGCAGTCATTTCACTCCTCTTGTTGCAGTCATTTCACTCCTCTTGTTCCAGTCATTTCACTCCTCTTGTTCCAGTCATTTCACTCCTGTTTTTCCAGTCATTTCACTCCTGTTTTTAGATTCATTTCACTCATGTTTTTAGATTCATTTCACTGCTCTTGTTGCAGTCATTTCACTCCTCTTGTTCCAGTCATTTCACTCCTCTTGTTCCAGTCATTTCACTCCTCTTGTTCCAGTCATTTCACTCCTCTTGTTCCAGTCATTTCACTCCTGTTTTTCCAGTCATTTTACTCCTCTTGTTCCAGTCATTTCACTCCTTTTGTTGCAGTCATTTCACTCCTGTTTTTAGATTCATTTCACTCATGTTTTTAGATTCATTTCACTCCTCTTGTTCCAGTCATTTCACTCCTCTTGTTCCAGTCATTTCACTCCTCTTGTTCCAGTCATTTCACTCCTGTTTTTCCAGTCATTTTACTCCTCTTGTTCCAGTCATTTCACTCCTTTTGTTGCAGTCATTTCACTCCTGTTTTTAGATTCATTTCACTCATGTTTTTAGATTCATTTCACTCCTCTTGTTCCAGTCATTTCACTCCTCTTGTTCCAGTCATTTCACTCCTCTTGTTCCAGTCATTTCACTCCTGTTTTTAGATTCATTTCACTCATGTTTTTAGATTCATTTCACTCCTCTTGTTCCAGTCATTTCACTCCTCTTGTTCCAGTCATTTCACTCCTCTTGTTCCAGTCATTTCACTCCTCTTGTTCCAGTCATTTCACTCCAGGTGTTCCAGTCATTTCACTCCAGTTGTTCCAGTCATTTCAATCCTCTGGTTCCAGTCATTTCACTCCTGTTTTTTCAGTCATTTCACTCCTGTTTTTCCAGTCATTTCACTCCTGTTTTTTCAGTCATTTCACTCCTGTTTTTCCAGTCATTTCAC